TTATGCAGAGACTAATTAGTTTTAATTGGATATTAATTACCTAATTTGCATAATGTTCCACTGATATATAAAGAACCACAAATTGGATTTTAATGAAACTTTTAAAGAGAACTATGCAGAAACCCAATTAGTTTTTGGTAAATATTTATGCTTATTAATCTCCTAATTAACATAATTAATTAACACTGATATCTATAATTACTGATCATCACATTTGAATAAAATTTGGTACATAAATGCTCTAGGACAATAAACAGGCCTGATTAATTTTGGGTTAAAATTTGTTCATATTAATTCTTTAATTAGCATAATAATTCATAATTTTTTTGTTCTGTTCTGTTCATATTAGTTACCTGATGTACATAATTAGTTTTCAGCTTTTCTATCAATATCTCATGTACAAGTAATTTTGAATTAATTTTTAATGTGTCTTCAATACTCTCAGCACACGGGAGTTCTTTCTAAGCTTTCTTTGATTAACAATATCTTCAATTTCCAATTCTTATTAATAAATATTTTTGTAATTTTTGGTAAAAAATAATATTATCAACTTCTTCTTGAAAACATTTGTGCTGTTGATTATGAGATCCAGATGTAAGTCATACACTGTCAAATTTTTTATTTTAGCTCAAATAAATTTTCGCTGAAAGGATTTTTGGGTGTTTTGTATGGAATTTAATTTTACTGATTTTTTGATGAGTTGAATGTAAAATATAGGAAAAAAGTATATTCGCTGGATTTTATTTTCATTGAAATATCCCTTTAATAGCGAAAATAAAATATTCTACAGTACTCTCAAATCTGTTACTTAGTTTTGATAACCAGTTATGTTTTTTTTATTTAGCTCAGATATGCTGGCTGTATTTTGGAGTTTTTATGCAATTCACTTTATATATATTTATTATTCTACATGTATAAGGAACTTTTAGATTATTATAGTACATGTTGTATTAAATGTATGAAATGTTAGTATAATAACGTATTAATTCATACTCCATTCAGCATTTATTTTGAATCAGATGAGAAGCCCTCAACTCAATGTCTAAAAATAAGAGGTGGGCTTATACCTAGGGGGAAACTTATGACCAGGAAAGTATAGCTAAGCTAAAATCCATATGGAGTTTTTACTTAACAGAAAACAAACTCCCTGGACCATGACTGAACAGTACACTACATATACCTGAAACATTACCTACACATACCAGAATTGTTGAACAGACAATCCAGAATAAAAACAAATTGCACAGAACTGAAATAATTTAAAACTTCTGAACACAGCAAAACAAAATCTACTTGTAAAAAACATTTGTCTTGAAACATTTTTGATAACAAAATGGTATAGGACCTTGAATAATTTAATGAACATTTTTTTTTATATTTTTGCAAATCTGTCTATTTTTAAAAATACAGTTTGAAAATTTTAGTTTAGCTTTCTTCATATTACAACCAAAAATACATAAATTTGTAACACACAGTTCCTCATCTTATTATAATTGCATAATTTGATCATTTTATCTGGATTCTTTATTCAACACTGGTGAGAACACTACAATACATGAATCCCCTTGATATCAATTCCTACCTTGTCTTTGTCTTCTAAACCAAAATAATTCTTGTCCAGGAAGTATTTAACAGCCTCATTACTACCACTAAAGCATGCAGCATGTAAACAATTCCATTTATTCTGGAATAATAAACATATTCATATCACAATTACTTTTATAAACAGTTGTCTTCATTCTATAAATATAAACATATTCATATCACAATTACATTTTTATAAACAGTTGTCTTCATCCTATAAATATAAACATATTCATATCACAATTACTTTTATA